AAAGTGCTACAAAGACTAGACTTACAAAAGTCAACCCATAGTCAGCACAAGAACTTGAGTGGGGGATCCATCAAGTATTTTAAAAATGTCAGTATAGGAACCTGTCACACGCAACGTAATATTACCGTAATTGGTATAGTACAGGTGTGATGGTTCAAATACCAAAATGGCAACAGTAACAGAAAGACTTCCCTGGCGGCGATGATAAAATACGAACACGGAGCCAACAGATGAGGTTTCAACTGGTACTGGTATTATTATACTCTGCAAACATCAAGTACAATAACACGGTAAAACTCCACTACTCCAATGACTAGATACTTAAACTCCAATACAATTCAATGAGATCTCCGATCTGAACTCAGTGCTGAACAACTCCCCTATATACATGTATACCCCACTGTCTATAAATAGACCATTACATCAGCATACATAATGAGTCTGGAACTTACTACAAATTTCTAGAATGTTCCATTACCTTCCATTGCCTCCTACAGTGTTCTATTACCTATTCAACCAGTTTCTAAAAAAAATCCCAAATATTCCACCCAGACACAGTACGGTTCTAGAACATTCTCAGTGACACGGAAGTGGTAAATAAGTTGTATGCGACAGAACCCAACCTAAATTAACTATAATCAAATAGTGATTGTGATTGCCTAGTGACAACATAAATAATACCAAGTCAGGAAGCAACAAGAAATAGGTGTCAGTGAAAACGTTCGTTCACTGACAATATTGTAATTAAAAATCATCAAAGAAGTGCTTGAAAAATTGTATTTGCATCAAATGATTATTATGTGTACTGTTCTACCATTGCTAATATATGCACATGTAAATTTGGAGTGAGTACAGTAAACTGTAAATTTGTGCTGAAATTTGTCACTGTTTCAAAGTTCAAAGGGTAAGTTTTGTAAATCCAAACCAACATATCAATTTGTTGAAATTCTACATCTGCTTTTTGAAATACAAATGAGGTGTTATGTTCTCAGAAGTTTATGTTAGGATTTCAGGACTCATAATAGAATGTGCAGCAAACCAGCCAACATCAGACATACTCATGTTGGAACACAATGGTCACTCACCTCACCATTTTCTGTGACATTACCATCAAAAACCTTGGCAACCAATTCATTGTTTTCAACAAGAAACAAAGAACATCTGAAAAATAAAATATTTATACATTACAACACTAAAATAAGTTGTTTCAATAAAAAAACATCCATGACAAGATGCATGCTGCTACATTAACCTCTACCATGTCTTTGAATCAAAGTATATTATTTCAGACAGACAGGCAAGCAAATTTAACACTTTGAACACAATCATTTTCAAAATATAATTTTCAATATAATTTCTTCGATAATTTTGGATCAAATGGATAATTTATTATCGGCTTAAAAAATCTGCAGGTTCATTTTGCAAAAGGTTACTATAGTGATTAAATTATACATGTACAGATGTAGACAAGAAAATCATAACTGTCATTTTGTTGTGAGTTAGAACTAAATACCTTTCAGCATGTGTCATGTTCCTTGCTTCCTGCATCACTTCTTTTAATAATACACATACATCATCTGCAATGGAAAGAGATATAATATAAACAAAATATAATATTCATATAACATCACAATGGCTTACTGATGTGCATACTAGTCTAAACATCAACCTAGAGTTCCAGAAATTTGAATATATTAAATACAGAACAAATATATGAAAAAAGATCACAAATGTTGCAAAACTGATACTTTGAACAAGCCATGAAAAAAAAAAACTTACAAAGAAATGTAACTCCAGAAGCTGGAATAGTACATATTTAAAACTAGGAAACATGATACTTGTATTAAACGAATGGCAACTAAGAATTAATTAATTAATATTAGTATTTTATAATAATAACTCAACTTGTAAGCCTTATAAGTATAAATACTACCTACTGGATATATCAGGGAAGTTATCTGCTGGTGGTGGTTCAGGAACATATCGTACACTTAAAGTACTTGGTGTCCAATCTAACTGCAGTGAGCTGTTCTTACTATGCAATACTGTCTGTCCCGCTTCACTATCACACTTCACTACAAACACTTCTTCAGACTGTTTACGCTCCAATGGGAACTTAGAATCATACTTATGCCACTGTTTGTTTTCTACATTCTCTACTGTGATACTACTCACAGTAGAGCCTAACACTTTTTCCTCTGTTCGTTGAATACTGCCTGACTCAATGCTTTCTGTGCTTATTTTAATATCTAGAAGTCTATCGGAGGCATCTGAAAACTCTTCAGCTATGGAGGAGTCACTGTCACTGTTTTCCACACTAGTAGTACTAGGGATCAGAACTCTAGGAACAATCTTTCTGGTAGATCGTTTGAATTTACTTATGAGCCATTGTAGTGCTGAGTTGTTTTGCTTGTCTGTCTCACTAGCTATATCATCATTATACCTATCTTCATTGCTAAGTGACTTAACAGCTTTCACTGCTGTCTCTGGTATTTCAAATGGTGATGGTCTAATGACACTTATACATGTCAGACAATACTTACCAAGGTGTGTGAAAAGATTTTTGGCCATCTGAAGCAAAGCCTGTCAAATAAACACAAAACACCATTATATTCTCTGTAAATTGTTCAATAAATAGAATCATAACTGGAAATCAGCTGAATTTCTATGTATGACTAACTAGCAAATTGCTAGCTTCATGTGAATAGAAATATATATACCCAGCCTGATACAATCATCTGTTAACTTCAATAAATTTTCTTCAAGTAACACCAAGTATATGTAAATGGTGGACATGGCTTGGGACACACACTAAAATGTATCCTCTCACTCTCAAGACAGATTTGGAGAGCAAGATAATGCTGATGCTGAGGATGTGTTACTAGACAAACACAATTAATACTCAAAATGCTTACCTCAGTCTCTTTTTTTAACTTGTTTTCTTTTTGAAATGCTAAAGCACTGGCAATGATGCTTGAGGTATACTTAAAACAAAAACGAATTCTGGCTTCATCTTCTTCTGTGTAACTGTAATGAATGAATGAATGAATGAACTCTCATTTATTACAAAACCTCTACCAAAATATTTTTTAGTGGCTCTGAAAGTTAAAATGTCAATATATACTACCGATATGAGCTGAGAGCTGAGCTGAGCAAGGCGAAACAACCACTTGTCATGGACATCAATAGTGGTTACAGTGAGTGTAAAGTGATAATAGTAAGATCCTAAATCTGTTTACAGTGTACCTAGAAAACTGTAATTTATGGATGGTAGAAATATAACCGCTTGTCACGCCTGTTTTCACTGATCAAGCATGGGGATCACTAGTAGAAACTTACCAACAGATGTGTGAGGCACCCAAGGGTTCTATTAATTATGTTTCATTACTACATTTTCAATGATCACAGGGCTCCTTTTGACATTTTCAGGAATCAAAGGGGTCACATTTTTTCTGCATTGCATCTATTTACGAGTACCTCAAAAGTGTATCTGAAAATTAGTTATGTGGGCACGCAAAAGTCACTAATGTTCGCATATTATTCTGCATGTACATTCTGAGCGAATGTAGATGAGATGGAAGTCAACTCTGCATGTACTACTGATTCTTTTCTCCTCACTATAAACAGGCTATATTCAGTTGGAAGAAACAGATCCTCTGTAGAAATAAGACTGGCCAACATTGAGAATCTATCATTATCAAGTACACCCAAAACAAAAAAATGTGGTTCCAATTCAAGTGACACTGTTTATATAATTTCAAATGAGCTGAAATAAACAACACTACTAATTTGCACTAGCGTGTATGAGCTTATTTTATGTTTATTTGACCATAAATTATGCAGATTCACTACATGATTTCATGAAATTTTTTTTAGGGCGTGTAATTCAAGTTTCGGTTCAGTAAAAGACAACCAAAGTCTATACTTATAGGGTTTGCCAATAAATATTCTCTGATTCACCTGCATTTCTAAGATTGTGTTTTGGCTTGCACTGATTCTGCGTGAGATTACAATGGTAGCTGCAGGTAATGTTAATAACCATTGAGTTTGATCACTAGTTTTTATATACAGAAACATTGTTGCACTATTGTAAACATCAAGTAGTGCTTATCAGGGAAGCAATCCTAATATTGTTACTTTATACTCATTGTTATCATCCCCAATGGTGAATATGCCGAATGATCATTACACTCGGCAGGTGCTACTGGTAGTATAAATTACCAACATATTACCACAGATGTGATACAAACACATATACACCAAACCTTTCAATCAAATCCTTAAAATCTCAGACAACTAATAAACAGACTGGCAACACGGGTATTTCTTTTGATCTAACGTGTGTCTCGTGTTTACATTTGCGATAACGTTTCAAGCTCATAAACAACTGGGGAGATAAAATATCCTCCAAGTCACGCGAAACAGCACGCCCTTGCGAGAAACTGCGGTGTTTCAACGGGAAGTGGCGCGAAAGGTGAAGTTTTATATTTTCCTTACTTAATGATTCCCACAGACATTCATAAAACAGGCCCGGGTAAACATAAAGTATAAAATAAAACAGAAAGTATAAAATTCAGTTGCAGATCAAACTAAATAGCAGTGGGAATAAATCAGGTGGAAGTAAGTAATAAGCTTCTCTCGACACAACATTGCGACACACATGTACAAAATCAAAACATCGCGTCAGTACTATTTCAAGACCATTATTTTAATTTAACTTCAATTTAGTTGCCCTGATGTATCATATTTTCAAAGGCTTTTTAATACATGATAGGCAAAATTTAATAACATAAGACAAGCTTTGATTGTAAACATGGCGACGTGAACAATCCTAGAAAAATCAAGTCACTATCAAAGAAAAATGCTGTGTTCCGGTAAAAGTCGTTCCTTTTTTTTAATTATACATTCAAGAAAATTACTATGAAGATAGTCTATACATTCAAATAATCATTACTTTCCAAAAATATGGTCAATTTTGCCTAAGAAATATAAAACTTTCATTTCCGGGTGACCTAATCTGAACTGAATACTAGAAATGACTAAAACGTATACGAGACCGAGGATCACCGACGTGTGTACTTGCCATTTAGCAAAATTCGGCAAAGCATGGGCCACCAGAGTAACCGAGACACACGTTCATAGGGGATTAGGTCGATTGACACCTCTAAACAATAACGTTGCCAGTCTGTTTATTAGTTGATGGAGTTCGAATCAAACACTATTTATAGCCCATAGACATGCTTTTGCTGGGAATTTCTAAAATTCAAAAACCTTTTCTCATTTCAATTGGTATTTGGTCAAGATAGCTTTTATTGTATCTGCTTGCAGCTAGCTTCCACAGCCAAAACACTGTGCAGCAATGACCACTTTATGACATCACATTTTCAGACTGTGTAATCAGTGTGAAACATCAAACCACAAACAGCCTTAAATTTTATTTTGTTTTTAATAACTTTGATTCAAACTGGCAGTTCTCCACATACCTTTGGCCTCCTTTCTTGTTGAAAGCACAAACAATTGCAGCAATTTCAGTAGATTTCCTTTTGGTAAGGGGGACACACAGCATCGAGTTGATAGTCATGCCTAGCTTCTGACTCAGTTCAACAGCACTGTCCTGCAAACAAAAAGAAACATATGAAACACACCACAAATGATGTTACAGTACAATTTACTGTTTACAGAGTAAATTTCTCATATAATATGAGTTCATGCCATTCAGACACAGACAATAAAAACACACTGAGAAGTACATTGTTTTTACATTATATTCAATTTTCCTCAGTTACATACATGTAATCATCATGTTTTGCTTCTCCACAAAGTTGCAGACTGCACATCTACACATGAATAAGTTTCGCCAAATTTGTTCTTATTTCCCAGTTAATTGAGTATTTGTTGGCTTTTAGTACTTTCAGAGTGGCACAATCTGATTAAAATCTGATGTAGTGTATGGGCTTTAATTATTTTGGCTATAAACTTATTTTATTTTTTATTACTTTTGTTATTAATGCCCTTTTATTTTATTATTATTTTACTATTATTTTGATTTCGTGTTTTTTTTTAATTCCACCTTACATACATCTGACTATGTAACGAGATTTCAACGAGACCCACTATCGACGATTTTAGTCAACGAATCACAGACCTCCTTCTATAGCGCACATGATGACGTCACCGGGCAGAGTTAGGTGGCAAACACACTCAAATAAAATGGTGGATTATACCAACGTTAGCGACCAAGAAAAACACGGCTTTTCGGTAAGTTTATCATTGTCAAATGCAACGAAAGTCATTTTTCTGTTAATATTGTGGCTCGAATGGTTCGAGTTTAGATCGTTATTTTGCGTAGTTATTCTGGGAGTCACGATTTTGTATCCACCGGTTTGACCAAACACCGGTGTCTTTTTCCAGTCGCTTGCCCTGGAGACGGGTGATGTTTTGTTGACGATCGGGCCAAAAGCATCTACGGTATTGAAGCTGTAGCTGTAAATATTCATCAAATTGTATCAACATTTTGTACATTATTCAATAACTCTTTATTAAAGTAATTGAGCTGATTTGAACTGGAATAAAATATTTTTTATTTTAAACACATCGCAATTGATCAGGAAATATTTTTTTGCTCCAATTTTCTGCGTCGATGCCGTGGGCCGGTGACCGTTATACAATTTAAAATCAGTTTGCATTGTTTACTATAGCTGTTTACAGTGTCCTAATCATTACGATTTACTTATTTTTTTGCTTCCATTCTAGATAATTATGCTCAGTGTAAAATTGAAGCGATGACTGAATGAACGAACCTTGGCTGGCGAAGATGTATCTGGAAGTGTACACATTTGTTGGAAGTGAAAAAAATATTCAATGTAATGACAATCAAAGAAAGCTTAGAAAGAACTCCCATGTGCTGCGAGTATTGGAGACACATTAAATATAATTTGAAATTACTTAGCTGAAAACTAATTATGCAAATCAGAAAATTAACATGAACAAATTTGATTGTAAAACTAATGAGGTCTGCGCAATGTAACAAAAACTCTATGTACCAAGTTTAATTAAAATGTGACTAGAACCAAAAAATCATGAATTATTATGCTAATTAGGGAAATAATATGAACAGAGTTTTACCCCAAACTAATTAGGTTTGTACATTGTCCTAGAGCATCTTTGTACTAAGTTTCATTAAAATGGAAATTAGTACTTTAGATATCAGTGTGAAAGCTTAAAATTGGTTAATTATGCAAATTGGGTAATTAATATGTACAGATTTTAACCAACAATTATCCAGGTCTGTCTATTGTCCTACAGCATCCATGTATAAACATTCATTGATATGTGATGCTTAGTACCTGAGATATCAGTGTGAAAGTTGGAAATTGGTTAAATATGCAAATTAGGTGATTAATATGCACAAATATTTACCAAAAACTAATTGGGTCTCTGCATAATTTTAGATTCATTGAAATGTGATGATTAGTACTTTAGATATCAGTAGAAAAGCTGAAAATTAATTATGCAAATTAGGTAATTAATATGCACAATTATTTACCCTGAAACTAATCAGGTCTCTGCATAGTCCTAAAGGATCTATGTACCAAGTTTCTGTGACAGGTCAAATGTATTCACATTCTAATTACCCTTGTAATTCACTTTGCGCATGCGCAGTGGTGCTCAACTTGACATCCAGTCAGTTGGTCACTGAGATTTGCGGCGTGAACATCGCTTTGAAACCACTGAGGGACGACAACCCGTGCAGTACTTCTCCATCTACTTTCCACGTTTATGAATTCACTTTCGGTAAGAGGATAGCTATTATTTCAAACGTATTTTGGAGCAAATTTAGTGTAAACATTGTATATTTCGCTAACTTGTAAAACACGAGTAGGAGCGTGTACGCCACGTGTACCCATTGCTTGTACCCATTTCTTGTACGGAACAACGTTGAAAGCCCATTACATTTGTTCATAGTGGTAATTAGTTATTCGGGATACATAAACTCATTATGAATTGTTCATTTTTCTTATTGTATTTGCGTAACATTTATGTAATATTTATGTAATATTTATGTATATATTTGTGGAATTGTAGTTTTTTTCTAAATGAGAACTGTCCGAGTTTGTGGCACTGTTTAAATGTGCGAATTGTTAGGATTTAAGTTTAGCAGTTATCACGACTCGTTTATTTGTTATAAATTATTGTAGGTGTGTTTGCGTGTAAAAAGAAACTATGTAATCATATAGGGCGTCACTGAATTGTACTGGTTGGGGTGAGTTTATATACGCTACTCGAGTGCAATATTATTTCTTTGACTCGCATTATGTTATTATTTATATTCATGGAAAAAAGGAAGTCTCTATGCGTCGACTTAAGTCTATTGAGAGACATGATTCAGTTTATTGTGTATTTCGTACATTCAGTACTTACATATTAGCTAAACTATTCCTTTACATATCATGGTTTCTACTTGGAATTATGATCTCCATACCTCCAATGACATTGTATTAATCTTGACTATTTATTGTATTTATGTAGGTTTCAGTTAACTTTTATAGTTGCTCATATTGGAAATTAAAAGAACGCAT